AGGGCGTGATAGTACTTATAGTACTTACTGTAGTTTGTTGCAATCACTAACTTGCGTTTTTCTACACTCTTATACATAAATAAAATAATTCATACGTAAATGTAGTTGTTAATCATTTTGTATGTCACAATTAAACAAATTCAAATATTCATATTATTGATTACATTAATTATCTTCATTATTTCTACAGGTTTAAACAAATTTTATTCACAAAAATTATCTGGTATCAGATGGACTATAACATAGTAGAAATAATTTTGTTATAGGTCGAGAAAAAATTAACACTTTGTTACAGTTTGTATATAAAATATCTGACGAATTATTAACTTTTTTCACATAATACCTTAATATTTTATTACGCAGAATGTTTAGAAGAATCCACGTACGTAAGAAAAATCTTTTTATTCCACAATATTTCAGTATTATTAATGAGAAAATATAATTAATCTTCATATCTCAGTAGATCCTGGACCAACGAAAAAATTGTTACTGCAAATTAATAGCCCTTTCCATACTAAACAACTTCTGTGAATAAACTTTTCTGATATCTCCAAAAATAACGAAGATAATGAAGATGATCGTAAAATGCTTATATCCAGCCCACCCTATATGTAGGTGCGTCGCACAACTGAACGGCCGAATAGAGGGGAGAGCGCGCGAATGATTGGAGCTTCCTTATTGCAGTATTCCTGGAATTTTGGCCCTCTACAGCCCCGAAGGCTGCAATAAACGATCGCCTACTGTATCTTTTTTGAAACGTTATATCGTAGGTACAGAAGAGCCGTTGCAGAATAATTTCATTACCGCAGGTCCTAATTATTTTATCCAAGGTAACAAAAATGAATTTGCTTCAGCAACTACTGTAACTGAATAACACGAGAACTGATTTAGACTTCTTATATTTGTGAAAGTTTTTTTAATCATAAGGGACGCTATATGAATCATCGATTAAAAGAAATCTATTAATTAAAAATCGTCCAATAATTAATAATATGCACTTTTTAACTGTTGCCTTCTACAATTTTTATGAAACTATTTTCTAATGTGTAATCCATGTTATAGGCACTACTTTATCAGAAATTTTCAGAAATGTGAATCACACGTGGCGTTTCACGTGTACATCTACACGAAAATTTCTCAGTTCTTGGATCTATAGATCGTACTGTGACGACACAATCTGGTAACACGATCAACGACGCGACATATAAATCGACGACCGTCATACAGGTCACACGTGTTTTGGCGCGAGAAACACTGCGTAACCCGTTCCGCTGTGCTAGAGGACTGCTCTTAATAAGCTTATTGGCCTTGATCACACCACCCATTAATCCTATGGACAATTAATTCTAAACGTACGCTTTATTCAATATTAATATGTTTAATGTGATGTAAAACATACATGCATATGTGCATGCCTTATGTTGCATCTTCACTTGTATGAATCATACTATGCATATACCATGAACTTTCAGTCTTTCAAAAATTATCTCCATCCCTTGTTTCAAATAAAACTGATAGTAATCAACTCCTCGAATAAATTTGTCGTACAATTAGATAGAATTTCTGTTTTTCAGAAACAAAAAAACACATATAGTCAATTTTAAAATCTCCATATTTTTGAAAATTTGTCCATAAAGAGGACAAATAGGACCAGATCTTCATTGTTTTCAAAATTTTAAATAGTGCCCCGCTATTACAACACTGTATTTCTTTAAAACAATTGCGAAATAAATGGTTCAAAAATATTTGTTTTACCTGAAATAATTTTTATTCAAATTGACACTATATTTCAAACAGTTGTAGAATCACCAATTGTAAAAATTTTCACAAATCCTTCGAGGTACGTTTATATATCACTAAAGTTTACAACATATTCAAGTGTCAACAGAATCCGAAATGTTACTCCAAAAAAGTGTCCGATTTCGCGTGGAATGACCCTAATGTGATATAATAAATATAAATACGTAGCAAAACTGAGAATTTTTTAACGAAACTAATTAGTTAAACGAAACAATTCGGATCGATATATAAATCGAACACCGACGTGTCAGTTACGCCTCGTAGCGTAAAAGAGAGAAAAAGGGAGATCATGTGTGTGCAGTGGATCGAAAATCTCGTTGACCTTCCCTGTAAGTGCCCATTTCTGGCCTCGTTGTCTTCCACGTGTAAATGTCGTACACGTGCGATCACCTATATATCGGCACACATTTAACAAAGTCTGGACTAAAATAAGTACTTAGATAAGTGAAATCAAGCGTGGGCTTTGACTTTCAGGACGTCGTTGGATCGAGGGAACGCCGTGTTAAGTTTAGAGCGGTGATCGTTATATATATATATGTATTAATTTCCGGTAGAAGCACGTAATATTTCGATGAGTATTCGATCGTTAAGATTTTTTTTTTAGTTTCCTCAGGCCAATTATAGCTTCAAAGATATTGTAATGGTACTTTAAACGAAATACGAAAAAAATATCGGTCACGTGTAAAAATTACTAACACTACAAACTGTGATAAGCATGATTTGTTATGCTACTTTGTTAATGTGTAGATTAAAGTGCATTGTAGACATAACTGAGAGACCAATTGACGAATGGTTAACAAGAATTTATTAATAATATTCTGGATAAAATTTTACACATAACTTAATGTTTATTTGGAGAGAAGACTGAAACTCTGAAACTCTAATTTAACGAGTGTACTGTATAACATTAAGATATTTAAAACAAAATGAAATAATTTAATGACAAGTAGAAGAATAAAGAGGGGTTTAATCAGAGCAAGTAATCGAAACACAATATTCAAGCAAACTAAGTTTAAATGTTTTGTATAAATTGTTCTGAATTCTTAAAGGATGAGAAATAAACTTTTATTTATGAATATGTGATTTGTAAATTAACATATAATTAAATTTTAAAGAACTACGGAAACTGCTACCGTGACGTGTAAAGCATTAATTCCAATTACAAATGTAATTTTATTATTATTTTCGGTAAGAAACTGCTTTACGTGGACCTCACGTGGTAATATCACGGAGAATGTAACACTTGCACGGCTAGTGTTTATTTAGAATCGTATTAAGTCTACGTCAACGTGCAGTACGCGATTTTCACACAATAGACTGCGTTTAGTTAAGGAAACACATGTTACATCTACATTCAAGTTTCGTATTACAAATGCGACTAGACAATGGAACACGATTTCTTGTGTCAGTTTCATCTCATTAACGCGGCGTAATTGAATTTATTAAATGCAATCACAGAATAAACCTGTATCAATGTTATTTTTTAAATGAAACTACATAGGGTAAAAAGAGTATTCGTACAGCTTTCAATATAGAACAACTCTTTCAAAATTGGACCAAGTGACTTGGGTTTCTTTGTGATCTTAGAAGGATTAGTGTACTAAATGACGTGTTAATAAAATGTTGAAAAAAGTTGCAATGGTCGGAATTGCGAAGAAAATAGTGAAGGTCGCTTTTTACGACCCTTTTATCCGAGATTGTAATAAAAATTTAACACATACATTGCTTAGATTTATGTTAGTTATATGCATGCTGGAAATTTCATCGAAATCGGTTAACGTTGTTACGAGATACAAACGGTTAAAAATGTGGAAAATGGCAGACTTTCGCGACTTTTGACCTGTAACTGTAGTATATCTAAAGATTCTTACATCTGTCGATGTCTGTTACTCGTTTCTGTATTAACCGATTTCAATTAAAGTTGCAGCATGTGTATAACTGATATAAATCATCGAAATGTATTTATTAAATTTTCATTACAGTCTCAGACAAAAAAGTCGTATAAAGCGACATTCACTATTTTCTTTGACATTCTGCAAATTTGTTTAACACATCATTTAGTAAACTAATCCCTCTAACTTCACAAAGAAACTCAAGTCACGTGGTCCAATTTTGAAAGAGTTGTTCTGTTTTAAAGGGTGTACGAATACTTTTTTTACCCACTGTATATAGTTTTACTTTGTCCACTGCGTTATGCAATCGAGAAACGTACGGGATTTTTTCTGAACGGTTTCATCAGATATTCTTATAAATATTGATCATGTGTAGTTAATATACTCAAACAGTGGTACTAATATGTACTCATTCAAAACACTAATTGCACATAACATTTGTCGTCAATATACATAATAATATTTGATAAATAGTTGGCCAATAGGACACTTTATATTTCACTCTCTGAAGATGCGAATTATACACCTTATTTATGGGTATTAATCTACCTGCAACTCATCTGACACTTACTACATAATGGTTTAGATTTTACTGATGAAAATGGGATCAAATACGACCGTGTTAGGATAATTTTAACTTATATTTCTAATCGTGAATGGTACTATGCGAACAAAACAGGAATTGTAAATGTAAATAAACATTGCCTAGGTAAGATATACGCATGGGAATAGTTACGTAAAAATATAAGAAAATGTAAAGAAATTTTTATATCACATTATTAGTCGATTTGACAATTTTCGGATTGTGTGAAGCATTACTGTAACTTCCCGAAACTTGCAATAAATAAAAAATAACTGTATATGAGGTAGGGTAGACATACACAAAAGTGATGGTCGTCGCATTTACGTTGGTATTGTAGTTTTATTTTATTTTATTGAGGGAGAATTCACTTAATGCCAGAAAAATGGTAAAACGTTATATAAAAAAGGAGAAACTATTTCAAATATTAGATCCTGTAGTAATAGTTCACTAGTAATAAATATTTTTCCGCGAAAGACGGCCAATACTTTTGCATATATCCAATATGTGTATACTTTTAAACGAACGGTTTAACATGTAATAACTCCCGGTAAAAGAAACTAATCATTGAGTAAATGATATTCTCAATTACACTTACAAAAAAAGGCAATTTCTTATCCTGTTCAAATATCAAACAAGAAAGCAACACATGCTTCAATTAAACAGTTGGTATAACGGCGTCTATGAAAGTGACATTCACACTTCGTATCAATGTATGTACGACTTACCGGTTCACAGGACACGTGTACACCGTCGGCCCAAGGATTCCAAACTGATTTCTTCTTTCAGACGTACCGCCGTATTTCTCCCGTGTCTGCTGTCAGTCACTTCGTGGTACGTTAAAACGTCGATTAATTTCAAAACTCTATACTCTCGTTTACTAAACGCCGGGCACTATCCTCGTCGATTGAATCTCGATAGTTCCGAATCGATATCAGCGAAATTTCATAAAAAAAAGTCACTGACCGCGTGTAACTGCAAACGAGATTAACCAACGTTCGATTTTCTGTGGGAATTGATTGCCGATCGAATTACACGATTTAAAATATGTCTACGCACAATGTGTCGAGTGGTAACTGTACCAAAACGATGAAACTTCGGTCTCGACGAGTATTCGTTGTGACAGGGTCGGGGAAGGACGAACCAGATCCACCGGCGTCTGTACATCAACTAACGGCAATCGAGCACCGCCATGTTATCCCCCCCTCGTGGTTACCGCGCGCAATATAGTCACGCGTGCGTAGATGCACGGTTCTTGTGCACGCGCGTCCAGCTTCGATATTACGACAATCTCGATAACAAAAGCCGCGGCACGTGCATCCCCACCTCGCAACTCGGATCTTGTAAAAAGATTCCACAGGAAAGCGGGGCGGGACGTGCTTCGGGGGATTTCGTTTCATTTTCACCCGGTGCCCAGATATGTGTCAAAAACTCGACAGTTATGGTTTCAGAGCGGTATCATCTTTTCTTTTTGAACGAGCCCGAAATTAACTTTTGAATAAAGGCATCAACACCTTTCGGACTTAATGAAATGGATTATCAGCAGAAATTACTGACATACTGTAAAATTGATTAGAGTAGTGAGAAGAATATGATTGTCTAGCAGTTTTATCTTACCGGAAATCACATCGTTTTTAAAACTTGGAAATATGATACAGGCTTATTTGGATTATTATCGTTTTTTTTTTTAACTTTTTTCATGACTAATTGTGAAATATGATTCAATTATTTGTTAATATACGTAACTGAATATTTATTGAAATATTAGAACGTTTAAATATGTATTTGTATCCTTGACTAATAAAATATTTCGTTGAAAGTAACATGTTTCAACTATAATTCTATGTTTAAATTATTTATTTGACTACTCTGCAAATATTAATCATCTAAGTAAATGGACCGTTTTTTGTCCGTTTTTTATTAAGTGACTCAGAAATAGTGTTGAAAACGTTAATGGTTCGTTTGGGAAATCATTCGAAGTAAAAAATGTATGAACGTACATTCGAGTCTCAATACTCAAGTAGTTATAACAGTTTAAAATTCATATCAATAATATATTGTGTTATATATATAATTCATTAACTCCTCGATACAATACTTACATTTAAGAAATACATACCGACCATTTATTGTACAACTGAACTGCAAATAAAGGATGTTTCATATTTTCTTGTTTTATTTTCGTTCCTTAAAGTTTCTTAAAGATCAGAGGAAATGATTCTACGTAACAGAAAATTATACGAAATGTGGAGTTCAAACAATAGGCGTGTATGATAAGGAATGGACAGAAAGTTGTAAGTTTCCAACGTGTACATACTTATTTCGACAATCCCTCGGTCGATTCCACAAATCATTATAAATGTCACCGGATAATTTCTAAATCAGATGCCAAATCTATGTCAAAGCAAGAAAATGATCAAAGTTTCACCACGACCACGTGGTGTTGGTTACAGACGCCATAGCGACATCAGGTTCAATAGTTTCATACAAGGAACCTTTTTTCTATGTCAGGTAATCAGATGCCGACACATTTTCCTGTTGTTTTCGAGCTGATGACCGTTAATACATGTACACCTTAGCATGTATCAGGTAATTCAGCTGTTCTTTTAAAAAAAAAGCCACAAACACTATTTACATATGGTGTACCACGACCGTTACTACCGCGTACGTTTACTACGATAAATGTTGTTTAACGTGTTCCAACTTATTTTTAACCTGTTATGAAATAACGATAAGGAAGGAATTCGTACGTGTAATAATGCGATCACACGTGCATAAGTATACATATAGATCCTGGTATCATAATGGTAACAAGCATCGGTTATCATTTTTTTTCTGGATACATATATCTTTTCTCGACACGACGCGACGCCTCCTTCTTTCGATATTCTTAGAAACGACGTTAAAGCGTTTTATTATTCTTGCAATAGAATTTAAAAGCACACGTGTACCACATTCTAAGTATTTGACACGCGTCTAATGCCTGTTCAAGCGGCGTCAAGGCAGGTTTCCCCTGTGACTGACACCACCGCCGATAGTTCACGCGAAAGATTTCGTTCGTTCGGAAAAAAAAAGTAAAACAGAAATTAAGACTAACAACTCTGCATCACGAAATGATCGTTTGAAATACCAGGCGTTACGCAATGAGAAATTTCAACGTGTCGTTCAAACGATTGGAGGTGATGTCAACGGTATCATGCGCTAGGAGGATGTACGGAAACCCTTCGTCGAGCCAATTTAGTTTTAATTATACAACGCGTACACTGTTCTCAGCTGCGCCCGACATCCTCGATTCGTTCATGGCTCTACACCTACACTCACGTTTCATTCCTCAATTGTCTAATTCACCTTGTAATACGTACAACAATACGAAAAGGACAAAAAGATCCATTTCTAAAAATAAACACATTTCTAAAAAAAAGAAATAAATCTATTTGGCCAAAGTTAAAAAGTCATTAAAAGTTCGGTTATTGATGGGATACTAAATTCTTATTAAAGCAACAGTGTTTTTAAAGTGGCATGTGGTAACAAGATTTTAATCATTAATAAATTATTAACTTTTATATTATTCAGTATATGTATTATTTGTAATTTAATACAATTGCACTAACAGAAGATATAAATAGTATGTTTACTTCTTGTTTTCATAAACTGATCTACAAATTTATGTGTAATACTATTGACTACAATAGTTGAAGATTCGTTTTCTAGGGTATTAATTGTCAAATAGCGAGACAGTTAAAATATTCCACTGTCTTCCAGGAAGGTAAAAATGGGGGAATCGTATGTGTAATGATTTTGGTCCCCGCCTGCAGAAAAGCAAGCCGGGAGGAAGAGAGACCTATCGTGTGATACGATCGACAAGAAGAAGGAGAAAGAGAGGAGGTCAGAGAAAGGAAGGGGAAGGAAGTCGCACGTGTAGCCAAGTTCCCCACTTCTGGCTGGTTTCTCGGCTGAAAGGAGCGTCCTTCACTAATCCTCTCATCCCTTCTGGTCCTCCGACCTTTTTTGACCGTCACAACGTTCCCCTCTCTGACAAAGATCACGATGACCTGCAACCAATCAGGGTCGTTTGCAATATCCTCCACGTGGCTCTACACGCATAATCACACACACCCAGTGGTATATGCAGTCACTGGTAGAGAAGCTATGCAGTGCATCATCTAATCGTTTCAAACGAGCACGTTCAACTGAAATTTGTACACGTACAAATAATATGACAGATTAAAATAATTACAATGGATAATTCGTAATTACACGGAACAGAATGTTCTTTTCATTAATTCCTGTTCAAAGAAGAAAATTCTAGAAATTTACGAATAATGATGAGGATCTTGAATCTACGATATGATAAAGTAATTTTTATTTTTATAACATGTATATAACATAAATACTTCAACGAAAATTTTGAATGGAGTTTCTAATCTATTTTTACATTCGTAAAATTTATAAGAAGAAAAATAACTTTCTATTCGATACACGAGTCTAAATTACTGTAAGATCATATAATTTTACATTAAGATCCGTGGTTTAATCATTTCTTTTAACATTTTGTACGAAATCGGGTGTGCTCGGCTAGTTGTTAGGTCTTTTGTAGTGTCACTATGTCAATGGCTATATAGTGCGTTCACCTCAATACGGTCTTACAAAACGTATTCCCCGTGTCGAAGATAAAAACTGACTTTCTCCCATTTTTCGGATACGTGTTTCTCCTTCTCCGGCCCTTCTTCTTTTCGTGAGTTTCTCTATCGGTCCATCTATTCCCTTTCACAAACTCTTTCATGGTCAACGGGGCCAGATTGTTAAAAGGCACTGGATTCGTCAGGAAAACGCAGTTAAATCCAGAAAACTCTGTCGGAAGCTTCCACGTGTCTACATCAAAATACGTAGCATATAATACGCGGGTTCAAACAGCGAAGATGCTAATTCGTTTTAACCATCAACCTTGTAGTTATCGATGACTTGACTTGCCACGACTGTAATTAAAGGTATTGTGAATGAAATTATTTGAAATTGAATTATGTATGTATAATTTAGACTTTACTTTTTAAATAGAAATTTTATCTCAAACTCTGCATTTCCATTGTACGATTAGTACTGTACACACATAAATATGAATGATAATACCAATAGTTTTGACGAATTTTGTATTTTTTGAACAATTTTTTGACAATGAATTTGTTAAATACCTACGCGTACAAAATAATCATTTTAGTTGAATTATATTTCTCATATTTTTTACATCATATATGCAAATTATTTTAGAATATTTTTTTTAACATTGTTTACATAATTCTAACGTATCTATTCGACTCACCTTTATCTTCACAATTTTGTGCGAAGCTTATTCAGCGATATCATTTTTTTTAGATAAGTTGGCACAGTTTTCGATATTATATGTATCTAATCTGAAATAATCGTATTCATACTTTCGACTGAGTAACTTGTCCCACCTTCTTACTTGAATCAATGTACAATTTTATTAAAAAAAAGAGGTATTTATTAATTATAATAAACATTATTCTTTTAAGCTACTTGAAACATCAGAACAAACAATGTAATACATAATTTTTATATACATAATTATTATATTCTTTTAGACTGGTATGGAACCTACAAATACTTTTGCTACTCTATTTTATTGAAACATTCCAAATCCATATATAGAATGTTTTTGTAACTGGGAGATTCATCCTTTATGCTATTGTACAATGATAAGACCGTTTTTATCGACTACGAATTAACTGCGTCTTATGCACAAATGTCCAGCATTAGCCTGCAGAGGTCAGTAGTATATAATCACAAATTACGTCTACTTTCCATAAAATAATTTTAATATTAAAGCTAAAATTGTATAAGAACTGGCACTAATGTAAAGTAGTATTGTTATTAAATGTTTTCTCGTTAATTTCGTCTACTTTAACGAAAATAAATAATACATATGTAGTTCGAACCACTGCACAGTGGTCAGTAGTGCATATAAAGTTAAAATACGGTAAGAATCATAACGGTCTAAAGGTCAAATGTTTACATTATTTCAGTGTTAAAAGTACGGTGGGAATTAAAGAATGAGGTTTATGGAGGAGCAAAGGTCGCAAGGTGCGGTCGATGAGCGAGTTCAGGCCTTCATAGAGACTGAAGCTAAGAGACAACAATTTCAGGTTAGCTCGCGAGTTATTATCGGTGTATTTTTTATATTATTTTCGATTATCTAAGAATATCTTCTAAACAAATTATTCATCAATATGATTAACTAGAATTTTTAGTTCCAATGTAATCTTGCATTATGAAGAATAGGAAGTATAAAAATATTCATTGGCTTTACTTCCTATGTCACAATAATTTTGATAAATTTTCAGCTATAGGTGAGAAATCATATTTGAAACCGTACCTTTTAACAGTGTTCTATATGATTCCCTTAAAACTAAGTTCATAAATAACAAATGTATTTTATAAGATATACTGTGTAACATATTAATATATTCCTTTGTACTTTGAACACAATATCTTTCTTTCCAGGAATTGGTATATAATTTAACTGACATCTGCTGGGAAATCTGTGTTGACACACCTAGTACTCGTTTGGGTCCAAAAATTGAAAAGTGTCTTGTTAACTGTGTAGAGAGATTTATCGATACAACAAATTTCATTACAAATAGATTAGAACGTGTAGTTTTAAACAGTCCTTCAGAAGTTAATATACGTTAAATGAGTTCCCAATCAAGGAAACTTTATAATTAAGTTTTCAAAACAGACATTGTCACTATTTATGGTAATCTCTATTTTATATATCTTATTTTGAAAAATGTTATCAAGACTCAGAGGGTTTGTAAGCCGTCATAGGCGAAAGTTTATAGTGGGAAGTATTGTTATTGGTAGTGTTATTTTCGTAAGATACACGCAACGTAAGCTACGAGAATGGCAAGAAAAGGAGATCAGAGATATGCTTGAAAAAACAAAAAGACAGCAGCACTTTGAATGTATAGAAAGAACATGCAGTCAGATGATAATGTCACTTACATCGACTCTAAGAGAAACTGTAATAAAGGTTTTAGACACTGATGCTATTGTAAATAAACTCAGAAATGGCTGTACTGACAAAGTAGCATGTTGGAATGAATTGAAAGTTTTAGCAATTGCCAGATCAGCTGTTATAATATATTCATACACAATGGCAGCTACTTTAATAAGAATTCAAGTTAATATAATGGGTGGTCACATGTACAAGAATATTCAGAACTCCAGTGATGCAACTACAGAAAACATTATGAAAATAAAATATATGTCCCTTTCAAGTCAGTTTAGGCACAACGGAATAAAGAAATTAAGTTCACTTATTAAGGATAAGGTTTTAGAAATAACAGCTTCGATTTCATTAAAAGATGAATTAACTCTAAGGAATATAGAAGAAATATATTGGGCCATAACATCATCTATATCTACAGACAGTTCAAGGGATCCAGTGAAAAATCTTACAGAATACATGTTACAGACAGAATGTGACGGAGAAGAGGAACCTATGTTATTGAAATTAATTAATGAGACTCTAGATCTTCTAGAAAGTGAAGAAGTACAAAACATAACACAAAGTAATATTAGAAGTGGATTCAGTTTATTAGTAGATCACATGTCTGCATTTTTCACTGGTCCTCCTACAATGGAAAATGGCAAACCCTCGAATGGTATTTCAGTACCAGGTACATCAAATCAGAATCATGTGAATTGGGACGAAAAAAACAATACAGAATCGAATTACAATACAAATACGTTTTTTAACATCAATAAGGTGGCAATGCCTATGGCTAAAATAATACCAATCATAAATGGACAAGTACCAGATAAACCAGTACCAAAAGATTTTCAGACAGACTTACTGCAACAGTTAGTAATAAATAACGAACTTAAAACACTTGGTGCAAATATTTATGAAGCATTTAGTTTTTGAATTTAAAAATGTAATTATTTCAACTGTACACAACACCACATGGCATTATACAAACATTATTCCAGAAGAAACTGAAATTGTTAATCTACTCAAATATGAACACATAGTTTTACACTTTTCAAAAGAAGAATGTGCAAATGTGTCTCTTTTATATCACATTGAAGTAAAAATTTTGTTATACATATTTACAATGCGTTTAAGCTGTAAAAAGACAACTTCTATCATTTTTGTACCCAACTGTATAATCATAACATCTTAATACTGGGGACATTGTAATTCTAATAAAATACAAATATAGAATTGTAAAAATATGTCTCGATCTAATTGTTATGGTATGTAATTTCCTTAAGGAATTATAATATATTTTTACTTTTCGAAAATGCTTTTTTTATTTCATCTTCATTTTCATCGATTATGTAAAAACTGTAAACAACGAATATTTATATTTAACTTGATCTTTGAAAAATAAAGGCAGTACATATTCAATATTTCGTCTGCGCTATTTTATTAATAGGTGACTTTAATGATAATCAAAAACATGTTTCGTCAATTTAAGATCAACACTATGAAACAAATAAATATGATATACAGCGTATAACAAAAATGTTGGAGGACCCGGAAATGGGTGACCATGGGAGACTCGTAAGGTGATTTGAAACAAGTTTTTTCTTAGCAAAAATGTTGTTGGAGGCTTTATTGTTAACGAAATATTATCGTAAATTAATTATCTAAACAAATCAGAGCTCGACTGACAGACTCGCGCTCTGATTGGTCGGGGTTTTTCGTTAATATTTCGTTAACAATAAAGCCTCCAACAACATTTTTGTTAAGAAGAAACTTGTTTCAAATCACCTCACAAGTCTTCCATTTCCGAGTCCTCAAACATTTTGTTACATCCTGTATCAAATTTGGAAAATGCATCTATCTAGTGCGATTGCGCACGATTGCGTAGGGTTTGTCGACAAAATTCTAGAATCTGTTGGTAACCATTAGCCATTGTTAGCCATCCATATATTCCATATTCCATATTTTCAGTGCGCCGCTCTTCTTCGCGAGGTGCAGGCGCATGTAAATGGTATTAACGTTGTGGTGTAGTTAAAAGAAGACCAGTTTTCGTTAAATTTTAATTCATACTATTAACTTACCAGCAAAATGTGGAAATTTGTCACCCGTGGAATCCGTGAGACTCTAGAATTTCGTGCATGTCGTACAAATGTTTATTCACAAACGTCTCAAGATAACAACGCAAAAAATGAGGTTAAGACTAGTTTGACGTGCAATCAGAAGTTCCTTGCACCGACATTTTCGGCTTTTAATAAAGAAACCTTCGGATCTACGAAAACTGGCGGTACCAAGGATAAGAATCAGGATTCCAAATGGAATACGAAATATACTTGGTCAGATGCCGTGGGATGGGTAAATTGCGCCGTTTACGTTTATCTTCCTTATCTTAGTCTTGATTGGTTTACCAAATTTTATTACACAAGATACGAAGTTTAAATTAAAATTTAAAAAGCAGTAGAATTTTTAAAACCGGCTACATATAAATAACATTCTGAAAATTTTATGCAAAGTTTCATTTTTGTTCGCATTATGATTTCAGTAGATTTTTGTTGCTACAAAATTGTTACATATTATTTATCAATATATAAAATAATTAATTATGAAAAGGAAAAACACTTGCTATGTTCTAAAGAACATAATAAAAAAATTAGTCTTTTAAATTAACAATAAATATTTAGCTTTGGAAAGGTCCTTAAATTTATTTAATGAAAAGTTATAGTTTTCTTTACATTATACGAAGAGATAAGTCATATACAATATTCTTTAAGATCACACAAAATCAGAAGTGAAGATAGTAGAAACTAATTGTATCGATAAATGTGTTCAATGAACTGTTCGGGGGATTCAGTTGTTATTTATTTTTATTTATAATATGCACAAGTGTACTATCAATATTGAAATATCATATAAGTTTGAATTATTAGCTACTTTTGCATGATGTAATAAAACTATGATGTACTGACTAAAATTTATTGTAAGGTCAGATTTAATAAAATGTTGTATTTTAACAATGTCAGCAAATTGAACAATAAAGTTTCCTTTTCTGTAATCTTAATAAAAATCTGTAAAAATCTTTTATAAAATATGTTAATTAAAACAATTTGTTAACAGTCCAGTGTGTTAGCTGTTGGATGGGCAGTATGCCAAACATTGTGTCTTCGCAGAAGAATTTTCGAAAAAGAAAAAAATGATACCATAAAGAGCAACGTATCTCAATGTTCAGGACCACATGTTTCTTATTTGCTTGGTCATGTATTAAATTTAAGGCCAATGCAACTTCTGCCTGTTACTAATTGTGTTGGAAACAACAATAAAATCTATGTGCAAGAAGAAGCACAGACTGAATGGAAAACAAGCAAACCATTTGGACCTATCACCATTGAAGAGGTGAGAATGTTATTCTGTAGACATTATAGTTTATAATAAAAAAAGAAATTTGCAAGAAGTAGCAGAAATTATGTCCTGTAATAATAAAAAATAGATACACTTATTTATTGCAGCATACTTTGTAATTTTTAATATTCTTTCTATATTTTTGTACATTTTTTTATATACTCTTAAGCAGCCTATTTCATAGCAGCATATTTTCATTTTACTTACTTGGAACATGCATCATATGATTTAATCTCCTTCCTAATGCTCACTCTATAAATACTTGTAATTCCTACTTGACAAAAAAATGTTATGACCTCAAATACTTTATTGTAAATGCTTATTGCACAATTATACTTATGTGAAATGATAAAAAACCAATATACAGTTCAAAATTTTGTTATTTCATTTCCTTCCCAAAACTCATTTTTATGTGTTCAGTCTTAGTTTACTCTCACGATACTTGCTTAATTCATTCAAGAGAACAAGTACAACGATCTTGACCCTTCAAATATAATTATAAAATTGTATAAGTTTATAGATAGTTTCTTTAAATATTCTGCAATAATGTTGCTTCATTTAATATATATTTTTTTTTTGTACGTGTCCTTAGGCCCTCAAAGAGGCTACTGAAGAATTTGCTAATATCCACAAATTAACCATGGGTGAATATGAACTTCGTCATGGCCTCAAAGCTTTAGAAGAAAAACGTTACCAAGATGCAATAAAACACTTTACTGCTGGTGCAAAGTTATCATCCGTTGCTAGTATGTTTAATTTGGGTTTGTGTTATGAGTTAGGCCTTGGAACATTAGTTGATCAAAAAAAGGTACGATATTGTTTCAATGTACTATACAAGCTAACATAAAGATCGATGATTGTATTTTATAAGATATACCGAATTTTATAGATTATTTAAAGTATTGCATTTATTTCCTTAGGCTGCAAAATATTACAATGATGCAGCGGAACAAGGCCATGCAGATGCCACATATAATTTAGGAGTTTTCTATGCTCAAGGCAGAGGTGGCTTTTTAGTAGATGTGAATAGAGCTCGTAATTATTTCGTTAAAGCGGCAAAGTTGGGACAAAGTCAAGCACAACATGCGCTAGATTTAGAAAAGCGTCATTATCAGTCAGAGGAGCAAGAAAATTCTACAGTATACTCAGATAAACGTGAAAGTACTTTACAGTACTTACAAAATACTATGAATATAAATCATATTCTTAAAAAATTAACTAACTATAGCCATGTGTTGAATACACAGTTACATGTAGAGTCTTTTGAAAATTCTGATTGTAAGCATAGTGGAACAGAAACTAAGAATCCAACAGAGATATTTTTAGATATACTTGGTATAAATGAACCCAATATATTACCCGTATCAATGGGGTCAAATAACTGTAGCGTGCCATGTTAAAACATAGGACATAATTGAAAGTGAAAATACGATGACCATTAATTAAGTAAAAACTTATGTACCATGGAATTTTTTTACAATGCTTATGTCGATTATATGATTATGGATTATAAATGTTTAAAAATAAAAGCTATATTTCGTATTCTCACTTCCATAATTACTGAATCTTATATAATAAGATCTATTTAGAATATACAGTATTTTTACAAAATTATTTATTATTTGTTATATCTGTCTTGTCAATATTTGTTTTTAGAAATATTCACGAAATAGGATTGTGACGTAAAGGTAACATATACATATACAGATAAAAATACTTTGTTTTTATAACTTGATAAGATAGACATTGCTTTCATAAACACTGTTCTCATAATCAAAAGTATTATTATTTTTGATAAGGTATATAATTTGGTGTAAAGGTATCTCTTTTTAATACTGACTCGAATTATATATGATTCCAAAATTAATGGGATTGCTGTCTGTGATGTATATATAGATTATGTATATATATTTGTCATATAATAAGTCTTTGGTTACTTATAATTTTATTGTTTTTTTTTATATAAAACATATAAATCATTATTTCATTCATAATACAATTTTTCGTGTGCGTGTTAATATTTTCGATTAATCTCTTGTAAATATACATATAAAAATAAAATTTTAAGTAAGTACTAAAATATATGTTTTATTTACAAAAATAAAATTTCAAGATCTTTTACCAATGTGCATTACGTTTCTGAACTGTTTTCTTAATGAACTCACTATGATTAGCATACAAATTTAATTTTCCATCAATATCCAACCACTTCACATTTCGCGCATCATCTCCAGCAATTAATGTTATCTGTCCAACAATACTACCATCTTCGTCATGAAAATTTAAAGCTACAGTTTCCATCCAAGCGTTATCTGTATTTCTAGGATCATCTACATATCCTTCATAGATTTCCTCTCCCTTTTCAAAAAATTCTTTGAGAGATCTCTCTAACTCTTCCCTTGATGTATTATCTTTTTCTAGAGCGTTCATAGCTTCCTCCATAAACTCTCTTTTAAGGGTAGCTGACACAGTTTCACCCGGATCGATCATACCACCAGGTATGGCCCATTCTCCAGAATCTTGTCTTTGTATTGCAACAAATTGCAAAATTGGTTTGTTTGTACATTCGTTAACTTTCAATGCTCCGGACGAAAGTCGTTTCCAGCGTGTTACAATTGAATCTGCCGCATGATTTGGACCCCATCGCCCCAAAAGACCACGTCCAGTAATGCCGGTACGACCGACGGGATTCAAAGGATAACCATTCTCATTTATAATATAATCCTCGGTGAAACTTTTTCGATTCACATTTTCTGGTGACAAAAGCTTTGCATGTAAAAAAGTATTCACATATAGACCAAGCAGTGGTTATATTTCCACTTTTGCGTATGAGGTAATATGTATTACGATCACATTAATGGTGTGATACAACTTGTTACGCAATACGTAATTAAATAATATTTCCTTAGAAATAAAAATGTAATGCTCGAAAAATTTGTAATGAATGTTTTTTGTTACCAAAATATACAACTTCTTTATAACAATTATATGTGTAATGAAAAATAACATAACTGTAGATTTATAGTAGACAATGGTTGAAAATGTAATTATTATAAATTATTGCTTCTGTGATCAATACAGAAATCAATTACTATATTCTCATTTGTACAATTCAACTTAAAATATTATAATGAAAAAAAGGTTTAATAAAGTTTAATCAGTGATTTTACTTTATTTGAAATAAAAGTTATGCTTAATTTCTGCTTTTCTAAATTACTGTATGAATATTTGAAATTGTATAAACAACCACCATCTATTTATTATGATCATTAATCTTAAAAGAAGCCATTGCAGTTAAGTATGGTTTTAGGTTAGTAAATCTAAATTGTTCCATCAGTGCAATACTATGTACATACTATGTAAGTTTTACATAATTGTTTAAAATACATTTTTACTACAAATAGAATTGTTAATTTAATTTCCTCAGCACTAAACGAAAACAGTTTTTATCTATACGTATATACATATAGAGTCTTCACGGATAAATTTATACAAATATTAGTTAATGAAGTATTTCTTGGAGAGTCATGTATTCATATTAAGTATGTAATATACATATTTTATGCCTTCATACATTAAGTATTAACAATAAATTTGCACTAATTAAATCACAATTTATTAAAACGTGAATTAAATCGACGTATTGTATGGTTAGGTTCAATTATTTCACAGAATTCCAAGCGAAAAATAAGTATATTTTTATCAATTCTTACTGTCAAGAGAATTCCATTTTGGTTCGAACGAAGGTTCTCCAATTTCCGGATCCGCCCAGGGTTTGTCTTTAAGAACCGAAGCAGTGTGTTGAGCTGGTTTGTACTCCGGGTATTCTATGTCCCAAGGCACTTTATTTTCTGGCACTTCGAAACGTTTTATATTGCTAGAGGGATAAAAACTCTGTCTACACTTGTAATGCATCATTCTGACGGCTGTCGTGCGCATGAAAATGAGTTCCAAGGTTTGTTACAGTGTTTTGTAAGTAAAAATAAGACCCAAATTATTTATGACGCGATCCTTTGGAGTATGAAAATTAACTAAAATACACTCAGCAATGTATACTATTCCTTTATTTTTGGTACTCCATGGTGTTAAATATTTTTTGAATTCCTTTGAATTGATATTATGCCACAAACGAGATATAGAATAGACTTAATATCACAGATGAGATATAGATTAGACCATAGACGAGGTATAGAAGTAGACCTTTCATATAATGTATTTCTTCGGACTACTTTTCTGAGGTGACGTCACTCCATTCTTTGGGGCCGAAGATCCCAACACCGTTGAATTGTCACTACTCAACGTTACCAATATCGAATGAATTGTGTGTCGTGGGTATTATTAGCATAAATGGTATATTATATATCTCGTTCGTGTTACGTGTATTTAAAATGATTGGCGGGAGCAAAAATATGCGATGCTTCGGTATATAAAAAGGTACTTATGAACAATGACGCGCAAATTTATATATATTTTCAGTTATCTATAAAAGTAATGTAACTTTTTACACGTTTCTTAATTCGTTGTCACGTCCTTTTCATTACATTTTGATGTAATAACGCGGTTTAAGATCCTTATTAATACGCACAAATAATTACCTTCTAGCAATAGGTAAATTTGTACATACAAATTAATTTATACATCATTTATTTTAAAAAAATGTATGTATTAACAATGGAAAAGTATATAATTCAATATTATCAATATTATTGACATTATGGAACATATAACGAAATATTACTGTAACACTTAAAAAAGTTTTAAAGTTCCATTTATATCATTGTCCTGTGAAAATGTTCATACTTTCAGCAACATTCATATTCCAATCAAAGAATTTACAGAATAAGGAAAAGGAATCTAAAGTAATTTTCAGTAGTTCCATACATCTTTATCTCGAATACTTTTCTAAAACATTCAAAGTACTAGACATTTTTACACTTTGAATCTCATATCGATTTCTAAAATAAT